AACTGGCTTCACGTTCTGTATGAAAAGTGGAGGACATGATTAATCTTTCAGACAACGATCCAAAGTGCATTATAAAAAAATAACTTAGTCAAAATTTAATTTTTTCACAGGTTATCGAAGCTAATTTGCACGTGTTGCCGTTACCTTGATTAATTGATCTTTAACAGAAATCCACATGTTATCCTGGCGCACGAACTTCGTCAGCGTGAACGATGCTACGGACACAGATTGGCCGAGGTAAATCGCAGCATACCTTCGTTGTTGGTAAGGCGAAATGATGACTTCACAACAGACCGTGGCTTCTCCGTCATGCTGACAGCCTGCTGAATGTTGGTGAGGGTGAAAAGTTGAGACGCAGAACGGCTTGAGGCTGCAATTGCGGAGATGGCTTCCGGGCGTACAGTGCGTATCACCGCCTGGACAGTCACAGACGCACTTCGATTTCAACAGCGGAACGCTGAACACGTACTGCTCTTTAATCGGGTGGATCTGCTCAAGGCTGGCGTACCTCACGGCATAAAGCCAGATTGAAGAGTCTTCTACTTCCGCTCCTGTCGCCTTGCTTGAGTTTCGGTGTCCAACGTTGATTTCGAAACACGCTGTTTCGTCTAAGCCAAGGTTTAGACTCACTGAAGTCATCACCTCGATTTCCGTCGTGTCTACTTCTTTCCGTCGGACATTTCCAACAACGGTGCTGATCCTGGTGCAATGAGGAAACGTGGACAACGTTGGCTTGCCAATCGAGTATGCCAAAATGCTGCAAACTAGGAGCAGGATGTCACTTCTCGAAGTCATGCTTACCAACCGGGAGTCGTTGCCTGTTTGTCTTGTTCCTTCGTCAGCCGTGGTCAACGACTGAAGTGTTTCTTCTTTTGTCAGATACGGAAGTGGTGGCGGAGGTCAGAGCTTTACAGCACTACGGTCAACGGGGCTTTGTTGTGTCCAGTTACGTGCTGCACTCCAGTGTATGTCAAGTCGTTGTGCCTATAATACCACGATATCACTAGACCAGTCACTGGCACAGCGATGACCATTCAAGTACGCACTTTATCGAGAAAATGACCACTGCTTTAAAACCGCTGTCAGTCGTCCTTTCCTTCTGTGCAACGCGGCCTCAGAGTATTAAAATTTGTCAAACCAAAAGCTGAATGTCTTCGTGGTCTGGTTTTCTTTTTCGTTCTGATGCTGATTCATCCTTTGGCATGCGTGATTATGACCTGATGATTTTTAAACCTTTCATTATGATTCAAATAAACGATTATTTGGGGCGGCTCATCGTTTAATACAACCATTTCGTGACACATGTTTACCACTGGCCCAGGTGACCTCCCTGTTGTGTCTATCGCCGTGACCACTACTTGACACAAGAAGAAGGACGCTTGACCTGCGATGGTCATTGCTGTTCTCCTTACTCTGCTAACCTACTGGCTGCTACCACGTTTTATGCAAACTTATGTATATATAAAGTTGACCACGAATAAGGGTGCGTGACCAATGCAACCATGCGGGTTTGTGAAACTTACGCAATCATAATAAGGTACTTTATACATGAATTCTG